CTCGAAATCAAAATATGTCCCCACTCACTTGTCCCAGTTGAGACTTTACATTCTATTAAGTTGTTAACCATTCTGATCACATGAATCCTTGTGTCATTAATGAGGCCCTTTTTGATGTAGCCTATTAATATTCCACATCAATAAAACCACTGCCCCATTTTATTAGTCTAATCTGTGTCTTGGCAATCCACTGACCTCTATATTTAAAAACTCAGTTGGATTTCTAGATGGGTGTCTCTGCCTTCGTCTGTTTTCGAGGACCCACTCTTCTTCCCTTTGGCATACTGACAAATTACCTAACTTGTCAAGTTCATGTACTAATTCATTAATACTGTTAGTTTATAAATAAAATTAGATAAAAGTTACTTGGCTCGGTGCTTTCATAAATGCAAACTCAAAATACACCCAGAAGTAAAAAGACTCAAGTTATTGGTTAAAAAAACTATGTTTGTGTAACAACATTATTCACATGAAGTATAGATGATTTTTTGTATTTGTCAATCAGCTGTTTTGTTTAAAATGATTTAATAATGTCAAAGATTTGTGATTTTAAATACATAAATTATTATAGTAAAATTTTCTAAATCATGGTAACTTTTTCTCAACTAAATTTGACTATTCCCAGCATTAAAATAAAGTAGGGCCTATTAAGATCCATTATGGGTAAACTTTTAAGGTACACAATCCTTGATTGAAATATAGTATACATTAATAGTCATAACACACAGCAATTATTATGTAGTAGACTTTGACTATTTTCAAGTAACAAACATATGTTTCTGTAAATAAAAATGATCTCCCATGTTATCCTTATGGAGAAATATGAAACTTTAAAGGGCCCCAGGGCCTCACTCTCTAATTATTTCCTTAAAAAGAAAGTTTCCTGCACAGCTTCACGTTACGCTCTTTCCAATGACACCAAAAACATGACAATCGGTTCAGTAGTTTCGGAGGAGTAATTGTCACAAAAAATCTGCTTGCGTATTAAATAAGTACGAGAGGTCGTCCAGTGGTCGAAACTCGACCAAAAATATGTAATGTACTCACTTATCTATTTTCACCCCACACTGTAAATAAAACATGTGATTGGAGTTTCCTCCATTTGTTTTGATTTTCTGTTTATATTTCGTTGTTATTTCGTAACCAGCATAGCAACGCATAAGATCCATGTTAATTTTTTCAAATTTTTAAACTCATTTTTTGTGCTTATCTTTGAGCCTATTTAAATTTATAAAGGGATTCTGCACACCTACAGGAAAATAGCTTTCCAACGGTATGCGTAGATTTTCCCTACGATTCACACGAGCTGAGAAAAAAGGTTTTAAAGAAACATGCTTGCCTATTAATATATAGATAGATAGATAAGTTATTAGTTATTGAATTTTTATTTTAGGGATTTGGCATATGAGTAAGCCTATGATAAATAACACCATTTCAGAGTTCTGCCAGTTTTTGCCTAACTCTGTCCTGTAAAGTTTAAAGTAGCCTACACCTTATCGTAATTGCCTACAAATTGGCTAAATAACTTAGGTACGGTACTTTATAAAAGCTCAAAGACCTTTTACGTTTACTAAAATTGTAAGCTTACCTTTTCCCGTCCATGGGCAGTTTGATTGTTATAAATTAACCCTTTAAACTGAAATAGGACTGTTATGTCAATTGTGAGTACAGTATTTGCATTAGTTAATAATCTTTTAAAATCATCGGAAATTATGACTGTTATTAGTTATTAAACAATTTATTTGTTTATAAATAACTCCTGTACTTCTTTGCAATTGCTCGATTACGAGCGACATGTACACTAGTTATTTTTTTAAATTTATGACAACAGCTAATTTTCAACCAAAAGGTGAGTGAGCGTAGCGAACGAACTTCAACCTGGAGGCGAGTTAGCGTAGCGAACGAGCTAACCTGAAGGCAAGTGAGCGCAGCGAACGAGCCCCAACCTAAAGGTGAGTTAGCGTAGCGAACGCACTTCAACCAGGACGTGATTGAGCCATGCGAACGAGCTCATCTTGAAAATTAAGAAGTTAAACGGGGCAAAGCCCGTGGGTACAGCTATTTAATTTATATATTTATGGGAAATCTGTCCACAGCAAAGATGTACTAAAAACATATAAATTTCTACCATACTATTTTGCTAACTGGCATTATCATTTACCGTTGATTATAGGTCACCTATTCCTGTCTTTTTAGTTTATTTTTAATTTTAATATCACCGAACTGCTTTTGCCACTACTTACCTTTCACATTTATAAACAACAATTTAAAAATTAACAAATAACACTAGTGATGGGTTAGACAACGATCTAAAGTAACCAAATCGATGCCAGCATGAGAGAAAATTCCCGATAAAAAGGCTTCTTTAAGAAACCAGAAAATACTAGAAGCAAATTACTAATAGTAATGGGTAATAGTAAATCAGTATTGCAAAATATAACCAAAATTCTGAAAGAAATATAAATAAAGGTAATGGGGTTTTCAAACTCTTGGGTTCAGTTTTACAGTATTTCATTTTTGCAATGAATTGTCACTCACATTTAAAACATACAAAAATAAACATATCAATGTATCTGAATACACTGAAAACCTGTAGACACTTGTAGTGCTACTTGGTCCGTGACTTGACAATAAAGAGGAAACAGCCATTATGTCTGACAGCCATTAATCCATTCACAAACGGCCTTTCATGACTGTTAAACTGGCTAAGACATCAAAATGTCCATTTATTGAGGCCTAAGTGGGTTTCATATCCTACTGACTACAATGGGCATTTCAACAATCGACTTCTTTCCATTGTTGTAGCCGTAGTTAACATAAGTTTTTTGTCTCCATTCCCTCTAACGTTACATAAAGCTAATGTTATCTTTGTTAACATGTTACTAAAATAAAATACCCCCGTCACAGCAAACGTGCAGACTAAGCCAATTTCCATTTGCCTGATTGGATTTACACTGTCTCCTTTAAATTATAACATTTGTTCCATATTTAAATATAATTAGTTTAACGAGTACTTTAGTTATTGATCTTAATCATAAAAGTAAATAATAAAAAAACTCATGTTGTAAAGCATTGTAGGACCATCATCTATTCATATATTTAATTTTACAGAGAAATTTGAATCAGGTTCACGAAGTTAACCTGATTTTTTGACTAAGAAATCTAAACCAAGATGACAAGCAAGAAGTTTAATTATTAAGTAATTAAATACCATTTGCTCACTACCTTCATATAAAACTACTTAAGTCATGTTTAAGGATTAATACATATATAATCTATTATATTCTAACTTGTCACTTTTTAATTATAAAATTGTCGATTATTGACCCAACTAGCTTATTAACTCAAAAACTTTAGTTCTACGATAATTTTACATTAATAATACCAAACCTTTGCTTGGTTCCAAAGTAGTATTCACACACACTTAAATTCACACACAGTTAAATTCAATAAAAATAAATGTCAGAGAAAATGTCCCACGACATTGTCCGTGCCAATGAACTCACAGGTTTATTTGCTACCGAAACGAATTTTAAATTGGTCAGCAAGTGCGGACAGGAGAGTGGCTACATTCCATGATGTTTTTGCTACTGGTCATTTTGTTGTATTTCGGACTGTCCGCTACCCGCTTGGCCCCCCTGCTTGGGGGGCTACCCGCTACCCTGCTTGGCCACTAGAAGTTTTTGCTTTTCATAACATGGATTTGTTTAAAGTATTATAGGGACGAGTTTGTGGTGTTTTAGAATCAGTTCTAGGTGAGGGTGGGAAACGTTTTTTTCTAATTGATTGTGTGTTAAACTTACCTTGTATCAAGTAGACAAACATGTCTAGAAACGATATCATAATTATGAAGATATCGAAGAATGAAACTCATTTTTTTTAATCCTCTAATAATTTGTCTTGATAACCTATTTAAAAGCAAAACGTCCCCTATCTCTCACTTCCATTTCTCCTACTTCCAATATTATTTTAAAAGGGAGTCTGTTTAATTTATAAGAAAATATACTGACACTGGATAAAGCCTATTCCATTCTTTAAAGAAAACTTTTACCAAAATTTGCACATCAATACGGCTTTACATTTAACAAAAATATGAGAAGTCTCTTTGGAATGTTCAAAATCAATAGATTAATCTATGTTTAAATTATCAAACATTTAATTGTCCAAAAATAAATTACAAAATAGGAATTTTTCCCGCAATACTAATAATAATTTATAAATTACGTTTTCAAATTTCACTACATATATCTAAGTAAATTTTCAACGTGGTACAAATTGCAGTTTCGTCACAAGTTATTGTATACACAAAGTGCTTCGGGGGTTCAAGCAACCCCTGTGGCGATCTCACCAAATATTTGGTAAACCGAAACTTTTTGCCCTTTATTCCCTTTGAGCGCCACCCGCGGTCCGCCCCGAGTGTTCCTTTATACTTCCCTTCCCATGTGGCCATTGTTAAATATTGTATTTGGGAGCATATCTTTCTCCATCTGTTTTGAAGGGTCGGTAAATAAATACGGTAGTCGAGAATATGTCAACCTTTAATCGATTTCAGTATTTTTAAACGTGTACGTACTTTTGTATTTAAAATAACGTTATGTTCAATAGTAATAAGGAATAGACCACAAAATTTAAAAGTTAACCGTTTGTAAGCACTTTAGAAAACATGCCTATTATCACCATTTGCCATAGTACCTGTAAGACTTGTTTCTATAACGAATGATCTCAATAAAATATGAAAATCAAATGTTTGTTTTATATAACACATAATTATTATATCAACTTCAATAATTTTAAATCATTTGAATAGTAAAATGTCATAGTAAAGTCAGTTGGAAATCTTTAACGTGACAAATCAATGTAAACCTTACAATCTTTGACCTTATTGCCCTGAGACCCACGCAATTTATACTTTCAAAGCAATTCCTCAGACCTTTAAATCCAAGGGTGTACTTGATTGCTTTTAAAAATGCATATGAATTAAAAGAAAATTATTTTTTCAGGTCTGACATTTTGGTGGTCAGCAACGTCATTCAGAGCAAAAGCTTATGCAACATCATAATGGTAAGTTTTCCTTCATTTTATCACAGAAAGGTCAAGGTTTTTCACTTTTCCATAGTTTACCCTTATATAGACAGAAAAAATATATAACTTTCTAATTGTTACTTTCTATCCATTGGTGTATAACACTTATTCCAATGCATTTGGAATTCCAAATTGCATTTTAAGTGATATTTTAAGTAATTTTAGCCTGATCCCATATTGTTTGTGGCTTCTACTAAAATGTTTTCCTCTTTAAATGAGATATTGTCTACATCTAGTCCTTTAGACCGGTTTACTTCAGTATCAAAAGTAACAATGACAATACACAATCAATTGGCTTCAGTGTCAATGGTTTTTTATTCCAAAACGCAATGTCAAAAGTTAAACAGCAATTTCCTCCACGTGTCTCCAGCTTGCTGATAGTCTTGTTTCTAAGAACTAGTCTAATACCAGAGTTGAATGTTTCGTCAGCAGACAAGAATGTGCTGATACAACAACACTCCCCTCCCTACAGTAAACATTCCCTAGTCCCACCCTCCCCTCTTACAACAATGCTTAGCTGTGATGTAATGTCTGTTGTCGTATGTTGCTTTTAGTAAATGCATTGACATTGAATAATGGAAGTAGACCTCGCGTGCTGGTGCTATATTTATATTTGAACCGGGTGTTGGTGTGTGTGTGTGTGTGTTTTTTTTTTTTTTTTTTTTTTTTTTGTAAAGTTTAGATTAAGATTTCTACTAAATTGTTCTTTTTTAATTTTTGGCATATTTCATGATTTGGGCTTTGTAAAATCAAGGTCGTTGTATGCAACTAAACTGTTTTAGTTGGACGCCACCTAGGTGCGTATGAGTAACTAAACTACCACTACCATTAAACTAATCTAAACTAAACTAACACAATGTCTTCAAAGATCACATACCTCATAAATGAATCGATGTGCTAAAACGCAAATTTTATGACAACTAATACAACTAGACATGAGACACACACCAATACATGCTTAACATCTAATATAAGTCTACTTTTGTCCAAAGGCTATGTTTACAACCAAACCCTTAGGTTGATAACATCTGTAGCCTTACAAAACCCGAGTCAATCTATTCCCGTTTGGGAAGAAAGAAGAACGCCACTTCGGCTATTTAAAACTAATTGAACCAGTCATTGAGAGTGGGTTATCCTCCTTCGATCTATTCTCGCCTTCTTCTTCACCCTTCACCAATCATCCTCTTCTATTCACCATCTGCTTGGAGTGTCAGGTCTATGGTAATGATGGGTGCTCCTGAATTGAATTTGTTTTGTGACCAGGTAGCTCATGCGTTAGTATTTCATTATATCATTTTCTTTATTTGAACTAGAGAGTCTATGTTTGTAAAAGAGAGGTTCCCTCTGTATAAAATGTGTGATGTATTTATTTTAACGACATTAATCGTAGTTATTTCGATTTGTCGTTGAAGATCATAAAATCATGACGTTGGAAACTGAATAAGTTAATTGATTTCCTATCAAATACGGCATATATTCATTATGATTCATTATAAAAAAAAACATTGAGAAAAATTTACTGAACTGTATAGTAACTATAAACATTTAGACCTCTGATATTATATTTCCCTATCAACATTATTTTAGTATAAAAATCAAAGCAATAGAGTTGTAGCAATATATATAGCAATATATATATATATATATATATATATATAACAACTTGAAATTCAAGGTAATGTTCATTGTACAGTAACACGAATTACAAGCTATAAACACAGCAAAACTAGCACAGCTTATTTCAACAATAGAAATAATTTGTAAAAAACACTAGCGCGCATAGTGGGTAAATGGAGAACTAATTGAAAGCAAGGGAAAATCAGCTGATCGTTTTCCCTTGCTCTAAATTAGACTTGGGGAAGAATTAATTACTTTCTTTATATCAGTTGTTATCGAAAATAGCTACTTTTTGAACCGATTGATGACAAATATTACCCTAACAAACATACCTCTCTAACAGCAATTCCAAGTAAGAGAACGTAATATTCAATTTTACCACACTGACTTGAACGTCTTTAAGAAAACACATGTGCATTCCTATATCCTTATTTCTATTGCTGTTGATGCGTCTAAATTGGACCCAGCTGTCCCTGATCATTGGGCGTTTAATGAATGCTTCTGGATGGAACAGCTGATCTCAGAGGCACTAGTCTTTCATACATACTTTACTTATACAGTTAGCTGGGTAGCTGAGTGGAACAGTGAAGCTCGCCCTAAAAATCTAAGGTCACCAGATCCTGAGAAAATGTTGGTTTGAAACAGCTGTTCTTGCTAAATAAACAGCTGATCTTAGTCAGCAACAAAGCTATCATCTCATTTAACACCTTACCATACTTCACTCTTCCTACCTTTAAAATACGCATCTGAGCGTTGAAAGACACCAAAGACGTTCTTATCGAATCAACTTTACATCTATTTATCCATATAAACATTACTTAAATTCCAAATCCCAGAGATTCATCCCTGAACCCTCAGACACTCTCAAATCTCTCACTAACAGTCGAGATGTGGACTCTACATTATTAAGCTTGTTTTGCACACACTTTGCTCTTCACCCCCTCCCCTGTAATTGGCTTGCTTCAACCGGATGTTAATTGCTTCACCGGAAGTACCTTGGAGGGGATTTAATCCTCCCTGGCTTATCTAAACGTTTATATGCTTATTTAGGGTCATGAATTCAATTTATTTCGATAACGATTCTAGCCCCTTCTTCGTTTTAGGTGTTGTTTTAGCTGGCAAATAAAACAATTATAGTATTTTAATAGTTGTTAGCAATAATATAAATAGACTGTTGTATACGAAAGTAAGACATGTATATTTTCATCACTATATATCCGAAAAAGAGCTAAGCTATACGAAAATCGTCGATTTCCAATCTAGGAAAACGTATTACTTGTCCTAAACATTTCTTTTCTTGCCCAAACAAACTTTATCCTTTCCCAAAAAAATGTTTACTTGCCCAACCAAATTAAATATCCGCTAAGCATTCAAACAGCAAAATAAACATTCGACTAAGTACGATTTCCAATTAAGTTAGTTACTCAATGGTTTGCGGTACATAGTAGGAAAAATTTATTCCTTACTTTCATATTGACTATAGATGCTCAAGAACATGCATTAAACCATAGACAAATATTTAATTCTTTTGTCTACGATTAAACGTATTGACTATAGATGCTCTAGAACATGCATTGGGTACTGTCTAATTAATTGTAATCAATTGTCTGATCCTTATGCGTCAGCTGAGGAAGTTTCAAGATTACTGTTCGATTTATGTAGAATGAGTTTTGTAATTTGCTATTAAAGGTTTCATCAACTAACAAAACCAGTGGGAACAAATATAATTTTACAAAAACATTCTACGATTCACTCAGCCAATTATATATTCATTATTATTAAAAATAAATTACAGTGTGTCATTATAGATGGGACGTCAACTTCTGTATCAAAAAGTCTATGGTAAAATGTTCCATAACTTTACACAGTGAGGTTACTTGGTCCCAGAAGTAACATGTCTGATGCGCAAAGTTACTTGTTAAAAGTAGTTTCTAACTTGTTACCAAACAGTCATCAATCATGTAATTTTGATCATGAGTTGATAACCGTTTCTAGTAAAGTTATCACTCATCTTTAGACCTTGTTTGACTCTTGTTAACGTTTCGATTAAGTAGGTTGATCTTCCTTCAAAATACTTTACTTGAGATCAGTTTGTGTGAATAGAGGATTATTCCTAATCCCATATGTTATTGGTATTACAGATTTGCTTTTTTTGTGGGATGTAAAAATAGTAGTTCATTCAGACGACGAAGGATTACGCTGGCAACACGGTATTTAACTTCTAGAATAGTAATGGTTAATGAAGTAAAAATAGTGTGTTTCGGCTGTTTACAAAATCTTTATCCAACAACATAAATGTCATTTATGACCTTTTTTATGGATGGGTAGCTGAGTACAGACTGCTCACCAATAACAAAAAGGTTGCGGTTGCCTATTCGATACTGAGGAAAGTAGGCTACCAAGTTTCTTGATGGTTCAAAACGGTGTCCTAGATTTTTATATTTATTTTTGTCATCAGTATCGAAGCTATAAAAGGCATATCACTCTATTCTACACTCGCCCTTCATTGGTATTAGGTTTTTAATACACCCAGTTGCCTCCCCAACTTAATAGGCAATTGAATCAACCGCTTTAATTCAAGTTGAGTACTCAGGTTTCTATAAGTTACAAGGGAATATCTATCTGGCATAATATAGGTATTAGAAACAACAACCATATCATCTTACTGTTAATCAATCCGCTTACGGCTAAAACGAACTTTGATACATTCTTATCTCGATACTCGATGAAATTGTGAATTGTATCATAGATTCAGCGGTTTTAGGTTCCTTTTCTTTCTCGAATGAAGACGCCAAAAAATTTCAGAGCCGTTTTTAAACTATCTAATTAGCTGTGGAGAATTGTTTGTTCCAAAAAGACTTTTCGAAATATGCTTTAAACCAAGCAAACATTCATCACCAACCATGAGTAAAAATCCATTGTAAAATGCATTTTTCCAATACTGTACCTGTTTAACAATTGTTCTAAAAGTTATAAACATATATTGTACATTTTCTATATTTTCACACGCATCATTAAACATTTAAATTCAAAATGAAACGTCAAAACACCTATTTACTTAATTTGTTTACTCTATTGCGATTAAACCTGTCAAATTCATTTATCAAACCAAAATTGTCCGAATTGTATTTTGAACTAGTCACAAATCTGGGTGACCTGATGCCACAAGGTTGCAAGATCGAGGTCTTTGTCTACAACAATGGAACAGCGTATCCAATCGGATTGTAAGATGATGTGTTTCATTTCCACTCGTTCCGTCGGGACTGAGGAATGCGGCATTGATTGGACTATCTTGATCAGCTGTGATGGGTAGACAAACGGAGCGACGGATTAGAAAATAGACCGATCCATGTTACTGACAG